CTGTGAAGTATTATATTATCCTGCAATAAACTCCTTCCTTTTCAAATAAAATCAGTGTCAATGTATATACTTAATATTTTCTAGGTGGGTTTACAGTCGGCAGTATACTTGTGGACCCCAATGTGTTAAGAGAGCAAGTGATAAGCCTTTAAAATTGAACCCTTCAATGACTGTATCATGTCCCACGTAGGAGGGTAGGTGGGTATGAGGTAGGAAGTTTTTTATACCAAGCCACGCCTCTTTTTCGATTATTTCGCTTTTTTACTGTAAGCCACGCCCCTTTATCGTTTTTTTCGCTTTTAATTACCTTAAACCACGCCTCTTTTTCGATTTTTTTTCGTTTTTATACTGTAAGCCACGCCTCTTTTTCGATTTTTTTTTCGTATTTTACGCTAAGCCACGCCCCTTTTATCACTTTTTCGCTTTAAATTACCTTAAACCACGCCTCTTTTTCGATTTTTTCGTTTTTTTTACTGTAAGCCACGCCCCTTTATCGTTTTTTTCGCTTTTAATTACCTTAAACCACGCCTCTTTTTCGATTTTTTCGTTTTTTAAGCTAAGCCACGCCCCCTTTATCAGTTTTTACTTTAAATTACCCTAAACCACGCCTCTTTTTCGATTTTTTACGCTAAGCCACGCCCCCTTTATCATTTTTTCGCTTTAAATTACCTTAAACCACGCCTCTTTTTCGATATTCTTCGTTTTAATACACTAAGCCACGCCCCTTTATCGTTTTTTTCGTTTTAATTACCTTAAACCACGCCTCTTTTTCGATTTTTTCCGTTTTTACGCTAAGCCACGCCCCCTTTATTAATTTTTCGCTTTAAGTTACCTTAAACCACGCCTCTTTTTCGATTTTCCGTTTTTTACATTAAGCCACGCCCGTTTATTGTTTTTTATACAAAGCCCTCAATGGTATTAACTGTATTCTTCTTTAATTTGGCGCTCCTTCCTAACATCTGTCTTTATCTTGACATGAATTAACAAACTATTATATTGGGAAACATGCCAGAAATTAACATTATTTATTGATGGTCATCTTTATATCTCTTAACCCTGGGGTATCCCCCCTCTAAATTAATCTCTGTAAATGGTAGAAGATTTTGATGACCTACTCCAACCATTTAAAAAGTAGTCAGATTCAATTCATTGTTTGTATTTTGATTTCAGATTTTATAAATTGTATCATCATGATTTCCAAGTGCTCTTCAATAATCAGTCAATGGAGGATGAATTGATACGCTTGGTTGATGATATTGAAGTTCTCCAAATATTAGGGGAAGTATCCATTAATGGGTAAAACCAATAGATTTCATTATTTAAAATCTGTTTCTTGTTGGCAGTCAGGAACAACATCTGCAACAAATGTTACGCTTTTGTCACCCTTTTATATGAGTTATTTTACATTTTTGCTAGAACCAGAAAAATAGTGGAGCTGTTTTGTAACACTGTCAAATGACAATTTTTGTCATTTTTAAAATGGCAGCCAATTTATGGCTGTTACCTAGTTATGAACTGTGAAGTATTATATTATCCTGCAATAAACTCCTTCCTTTTCAAATAAAATCAGTGTCAATGTATATACTTAATATTTTCTAGGTGGGTTTACAGTCGGCAGTATACTTGTGGACCCCAATGTGTTAAGAGAGCAAGTGATAAGCCTTTAAAATTGAACCCTTCAATGACTGTATCATGTCCCACGTAGGAGGGTAGGTGGGTATGAGGTAGGAAGTTTTTTATACCAAGCCACGCCTCTTTTTCGATTATTTCGCTTTTTTACTGTAAGCCACGCCCCTTTATCGTTTTTTTCGCTTTTAATTACCTTAAACCACGCCTCTTTTTCGATTTTTTTTCGTTTTTATACTGTAAGCCACGCCTCTTTTTCGATTTTTTTTTCGTATTTTACGCTAAGCCACGCCCCTTTTATCACTTTTTCGCTTTAAATTACCTTAAACCACGCCTCTTTTTCGATTTTTTCGTTTTTTTTACTGTAAGCCACGCCCCTTTATCGTTTTTTCGCTTTTAATTACCTTAAACCACGCCTCTTTTTCGATTTTTTCGTTTTTTAAGCTAAGCCACGCCCCCTTTATCAGTTTTTACTTTAAATTACCCTAAACCACGCCTCTTTTTCGATTTTTTTTTTCGTTTTTATACTGTAAGCCACGCCTCTTTTTCGATTATTTCGTTTTTTTTTACTGTAAGCCACGCCCCTTTATCGTTTTTTTCGCTTTTAATTACCTTAAACCACGCCTCTTTTTCGATTTTTTTTTCGTTTTTTACGCTAAGCCACGCCCCCTTTATCATTTTTTCGCTTAAAATTACCTTAAGCCACGCCTCTTTTTCGATTTTTTCGTTTTTTTACAGTAAGCCACGCCCCTTTATGGTTTTTTCGCTTTTAATTACCTTAAACCACGCCTCTTTTTCGATTTTTTCGTTTTTTAAGCTAAGCCACGCCCCCTTCATCAGTTTTCGCTTGAAATTACCTTAAACCACGCCTCTTTTTCGATTTTTTCGTTTTTTCACTGTAAGCCATGCCCCTTTATCGTTTTTTTCGCTTTTAATTACCTTAAACCACGCCTCTTTTTGGATTTTTTCGTTTTTTTTAAGCTAAGCCACGCCCCCTTTATCAGTTTTTTACTTTAAATTACCCTAAACCACGCCTCTTTTTCGATTATTTCGTTTTTTTTTACTGTAAGCCACGCCCCTTTATCGTTTTTTTCGCTTTTAATTACCTTAAACCACCCCTCTTTCTCGATTTTTTTCGTTTTTATACAATAAGCCACGCCTCTTTTTCGATTTTTTTTCGTTTTTTTACGCTAAGCCACGCCCCCTTTATTATTTTTTCGCTTAAAATTACCTTTAGCCACGCCTCTTTTTCGATTTTTTCGTTTTTTTTTACACTAGGCCACGCCCCTTTATCGTTTTTTTCGCTTTAAATAACCTTAAACCACGCCTCTTTTTCGATTTTTTTACGCTAAGCCACGCCCCCTTTATCATTTTTTCGCTTTAAATTACCTTAAACCACGCCTCTTTTTCGATATTCTTCGTTTTAATACACTAAGCCACGCCCCTTTATCGTTTTTTCGTTTTAATTACCTTAAACCACGCCTCTTTTTCGATTTTTTTCCGTTTTTACGCTAAGCCACGCCCCCTTTATTAATTTTTCGCTTTAAATTACCTTAAACCACGCCTCTTTTTCGATTTTCCGTTTTTTACATTAAGCCACGTTCGTTTATTGTTTTTTATACAAAGCCCTCAATGGTATTAACTGTATTCTTCTTTAATTTGGCGCTACTTCCTAACATCTGTCTTTATCTTGACATGAATTAACAAACTATTATATTGGGAAACATGCCAGAAATTAACATTATTTATTGATGGTCATCTTTATATCTCTTAACCCTGGGGTATTCCCCCTCTAAATTAATCTCTGTAAATGGTAGAAGATTTTGATGACCTACTCCAACCATTTAAAAAGTAGTCAGATTCAATTCATTGTTTGTATTTTGATTTCAGATTTTATAAATTGTATCATCATGATTTCCAAGTGCTCTTCAATAATCAGTCAATGGAGGATGAATTGATACGCTTGGTTGATGATATTGAAGTTCTCCAAATATTAGGGGAAGTATCCATTAATGGGTAAAACCAATAGATTTCATTATTTAAAATCTGTTTCTTGTTGGCAGTCAGGAACAACATCTGCAACAAATGTTACGCTTTTGTCACCCTTTTATATGAGTTATTTTACATTTTTGCTAGAACCAGAAAAATAGTGGAGCTGTTTTGTAACACTGTCAAATGACAATTTTTGTCATTTTTAAAATGGCAGCCAATTTATGGCTGTTACCTAGTTATGAACTGTGAAGTATTATATTATCCTGCAATAAACTCCTTCCTTTTCAAATAAAATCAGTGTCAATGTATATACTTAATATTTTCTAGGTGGGTTTACAGTCGGCAGTATACTTGTGGACCCCAATGTGTTAAGAGAGCAAGTGATAAGCCTTTAAAATTGAACCCTTCAATGACTGTATCATGTCCCACGTAGGAGGGTAGGTGGGTATGAGGTAGGAAGTTTTTTATACCAAGCCGAGAGAGATGCAGCGAACACACCAAGTTAATGCGACAGCTGGATCAGTTTTTCGACAACTTTGTGCCATCAGATCCAGTCCAAGTAAACAGTATCATGGGCGAGAGGTGTTCGTGTTCCTGTCACTTACACCCCAGTCACATTTGTCGCAGGGAGGCCGTGCGTCGATCGCAGATCAATTAAATCAGTGAATTTCTGCGGCGAGCGTAGAAAAACTACGTTTGCCTTGCGGTCTCCGTCCGGCGTATCCAGTTTTTTACAGGCCGCAGGGTAGCCGTAGAAATTAAAACTCGTAGTTATAATATTTGTTCATATCTGTGATCCCCGTAGAAATCAACAGGCCGTTTCCAGACCACAGAAAGGTCCAACGATGGCCGCACGTCGGGTTCCGTTGACTTGCTTCTACTGTAGGGTTTGATGGGTAATGTACCTTTGGAAACAGTTTTTATGTCAGTTTTCGGTCATATATTTGCTGTAAACGCAACAAAGTACGTATACTTTTTGATGTAAGGCCAGCAACTTATATTTCACTTACACTTTTTATTTGATACTATATCCTAACACTACAACATTTATAAATCGTATTGATGTAGATAAAATAAAAAGAAGAATTAAGTTAAATCAACAGAAATTCAAAAACTCAGAGTTATAATATTTGTTCATTTCTGCGGTCCCCGGAGAAATCAACAGGCCGTTGCCAGACCACAGAACAGTCCCACGGTTGCCGCACATTGACTCGCGTCTGCCGTAGTATGCGTGATATACATTTGGAAACAGTTTTAGGTCATGTTTGCTGTCGTATCTTTGCTGTAAACACAGCGTAATAGATATACTGTTTGATGTATTACCATAGCAACCTATACTACAAAAGATTAAGTTACTTATGGTCAATGTAATATCCAGCACTTTCTATTTGTGGAGATTGTGTTGAGCGGAGACGCTCGGCACAATCCGTGATTGACGGAAAACACATAATTTTCCCGCCAGCCTCGTTTTGGTATTTTAGTTTTGACACTAGTCATAGTACACGAGAATTTTTTATAGTTGGAATTTAATGAGTTATGTTACAGTCAATAGTAGTCAAAGTTAAGTATAGTGATATATAGACGCTTTACAAATAATGGCAGAAGCTGGAGGAGATCAAAGAAATCTCAGAGACACTAAAAAGATCGACTATTTGCAACTACCTCTACAGGTCAAGTTCAAGTTGAATCAGAAAGTCACCAACAACTTCACGAACATGAACAGAATGAGCTTATGGATATAAAGGACATAAAAACAATGATTAATGATCCCCCAATAGACAGTGATTCCGATATCTCTTCGCATGATTCTGCAGAAGACGAAGAGAAGGTGGCGCAGGAATTAAGGAATCTGAGGCGGATAGAGCGCAAGTGTCGTAAAAACAAAGTGAAGGCAATGAAGGCAGAGATATCACGAGTTCGAGAGTCTATCGACACTTTGGAAACTGAAACGGAAAATTTGAGCGACAGAAATAAAACTCGTACAAGGACAAAATTACGACAAAAACCCAGTGAACCCACTTCGTCGAAAGGAGATAACAATAACAATACTATGTACAAATTCAAACAAACAGGTGATTACAAAAGTCAAGGCGCTATCCCCAAGATCGACACAAAGACGGAAACAACGTCGAATTTCAACGCCAATGACCTCAGATCCAACAAGGGGTTACAGAAACGAGCCGAAAGTAAGATTCCCACAATATTTGACTCTAGCTCCGATTATTCTACAACATCATCTCAATCCTCCACCTCTGATACGGAACAAAGAGACTCACATAAGCGTAGAGGTAAGAAACATCTTAAATCAGGAGCAACTAAAAAATCAACTGACATAGTGAAAAAACAATTGAAATGGCCACATAGTGGTCTGAAAATCAAATTTGCTAGGAAATATAAAGCCACGTCTGATCTTGATTTTCCACTCTTTGTGGCTGGTGAAACAAACATCATAATCTCCAAAAATATCAGTGCGTCTGAAAGGCAGGGGAGGTTGAACTTACTCTCCAAAGTGGCGTACGCATATAACATGAAATATAAGTGGGCAGAAATCAGGGATTTTCATGCTGATGTGCTGCATTCAATTGAGCGGGGCCATATTGGTTGGGACGATGAGGTCCAGATATTGGCACTAAGGGATGAAAACTTGACTACTCCAATTACATCAAGTGTCAGTACTAGTGCTTCTTCAAACAAATCAAGTAGCGAATCGAAAAGTCTCGAGAATACTTACTTCTGTCGATTTTTCAGTAGGGGGGAGTGTAAAATCAAGGAAAAGAATCACATGGGCTTTGTAAACAATAAATCTGTGAATGTAAAGCACATATGTGCAAAATGTTGGCTGCATGATAAAAAGGAGAAGGAGCACTCTGAGATAGATAAAGTATGTCCGTATCTTGTCGGTGAGTCAGCATGACTAGAAGGATATGGTACATGGGACGATGTAAGGTGCAATACAGATATTGCTTTATTATTAAACCCTGATACATGCATAGACAGTGGTTTTGAATCAGATATCAGTGTGAAAAGTCATAAAAGTACTGATAGTAACAAGTCAGAAAATTTCGAAGAGATCATTTTCAATCACAATACAATAGGAGACTCAAAAGTCATTAATGCTGAAGGGTGCAAAATCCCTATAAACAAACCATAAATTGTGATCTCTTCGAGACGATGCTTGTAAATTATGATGACAAAGATGTGATTAAATACACTAGGTACGGTTGGCCTTTAGGGTGTTCTCACAGTGTACATAACAAGATTCCTGTTACTGGGAGTAATCATAAAGGGGCTAATGAATTTCCTAACGAGGTTGACGCATTCATAGATAAAGAGGCGAAATTGGGGGGTAACATGGGACCCTTTAAAATGAACCCGTTTAACTGTGAATGCGCAATCTCACCATTGAACACAGTTGAGAAGGATATGGGGAAACGTAGAACAATATTAGATCTCAGTTGGCCTATTGGAGACTCTATCAATTTTCATACTCCTAAGAATACTATACAGGGTCATGAATATTGTTTACGTTTCCCTACAGTAGATGATCTCTGTGAACTCATAGTGGAAAAGGGACCGGATGCGATGATGTTCAAGTTAGACTTACGGCGGGCTTATAGACAAATTTATCTTGATCCGGGAGATATTCATTTACTCGGATATCGTTGGAAAGATGAGTTATGGTTCGATCGAGTTTTTCCCTTCGGTAGTCGGTTAGCGGCATTAGCTTGTCAAAAAACCACTAACGCGATTACCTACATACATCGACTGCGAGGATTTAGTAGCTTAGTCTATCTCGATGACTTTGCCGGAGTCGACAGTAGTGAAAACGTTCACAACAGCTTCGCTGAACTAAAACGGATCTTACAAGATCTAAATATTCAAACATCACCCGAGAAAGAACAAGTTCCGTGCAAAGAAATGAAGTTCTTGGGAATCATTGTTAACATTGATACTATGACTTTGAAAGTTACCCCGGAGCGTTTAACAGAGATAAACAAATACTATATACTAGCACTATACATAACATTTATGAATTGAACTAATGTAAATGAATTAAAAATAAACAACGTTTATCAGCAGATATTCAAATTTCGCCGTGAAGCTGCCGCAGGAAATGTGACTGCAAAACTATCCTACCCCAGAAATTCTACGGAGAGTGACGTAGAAATGTTACTGACCGCAGAAATGACAAACCGCACGTTTGCCGTAGGAAATGTGACTTGGGTGTTACTAACCAACCAACTAATGAACCAGATAACCACCAGACCACCAAAAAGGGTAAAACTAACTAACCAATTAACTAATTAATCAACCAACTAACCAACACTCCATCCAACGAACCAAACAACCAACGAACCAGACTGCAACAAACGAACCAGATGACCAAGATCATGGATCTAGTGTCTTGTATTGTATTGTATTGTATTGTATTGTTTTGAATTGTATTGCATTGTATTTTTTGTATTGTATTTGTTTTTCGTTGACCAATACTTACTCAGTAATGATTCAATTTTAAAGTTCACCTCATGTACTACTCAATATCTAAATTTTGAAGGTCTGAAGTCTTGTGTTCATTTTAGCTACAGTTGTATATTGAAGGGTATTTTCTTTTGGGTGTAATTTTAATTTCAATTTAAAGGTATTCATGTAAAATTGTGGGCTTAGTTTCGGGATTTTCTTTGTTTTTAATTGAATCATCTCTGATCTTTTCCTTAAATGTACTTTGAGGTGCATTCCTCTTGCCTTGGAGAAATTAAAGTGAAACATAAAAGAAAAAACCACAGAGAATCTACAATTTGTGCTACCCATCTGCATCATTTGTATCTACATACCTCGGCAGGGAGATAATATTTCTCCGACATTATTTATAATCTTTGTAAATGATCTCGTTACGGAAATAAAAAGGCTTAATGCAGGTGTCGATATCGCAGGAGACAATGTAAGCATATTACTGTATGCTGATGATGTTGCATTGATCGCACCAACTGAATTAAAGCTGCAACAAATGCTGAACTGTCTTCATGATTGGATATATAAGCGGCGACTGACTGTAAATGTTGAAAAAACGAAAGTAGTGCACTTTAGGAGAGCGTCGACAATGTTAACAGAAGCAATATTTGTGCTAGGGGATGCAAAAATTGGAAAAATAAACTCTTATCGCTATCTCGGAGTTGTTATGAATGAGATTCTCGACTACACTGAAATGGTTTCCACTCTAGCTGATGCAAGTTCTCGATCCCTTGGCGCTCTTATTGGAAAATATTATTCGATTAATGGACTTCATTATTCGACATTCACAAAGATGTATAATGCAACCGTTATCCCCATCATGGATTACGGGGCTGGAGTTTGGGGCTATAAAGACTACGACAAACCAAATACTGTCCAAAACCGTGCCATGAGAACATTTATGGGCTTAGGGAAATATGCTCCCATTCCAGCTATGTATGGAGATATAGGCTGGATACCACCATGTGTTAGGCACCATGTTGAAATGGTTCGTTTATTCATCCGACTTAGTAGAATGCCAAGAACAAGGATTACTCGAAGAATATTTGACTTTGACTATGCCAATGCTGAAAAAGGCCATAGAGGATGGTGTAAAGAGGTCAAAGATATATTTGAAAATTCTAACCTGTTAGACCTCTATAATGAACGTTTCTTTAATAATTCAAGTGCAAGGTCAACATTTAAAACTGTAAAAGATTCTGAAATGAATCGCTTTATACATAAATGGACAGTTCAAATAACTACAATGCCAAAGTTACGTACATATAAGTTAATTAACGACAATTTTGGTACAGAGGATTATATAAAATTATTTTTATCAAGGAATCAAAGATCTGTTATTGCTAGAACTCGGTCAGGTACTCTTCACCTGAACATAAAAACTGGTCGATATAAAGGCCTTGCTGTTGAACAAAGACTCTGTGAGGCATGTAAATATGGACATATAGAAACTGAGAAACATTTTCTTCTAGAATGCTCTTGTTACAAGGATTTGAGAAAAACTATAATCAGACCCCCTATGGTTCATGATAATCAAGATTTACTGAAACATCTTCTTTCAAATAAAAATTGTGTAAAACTTACAGCAAAATTTATAATGTCAGCACTTGAAAAACGACAAAAAATTGTATAAATAACGCACTGTAATTACATGTATATGTATTTGTATAATGCCTCATAAGCCTGATTAGGCTGGGTGCCGATTAAGGTGCGTGGCACTTAAATAAATAAATAAATAAATAATACCTCTTGCCTTGGAGAGAACAAGAAGAATTACAAAAGCAAAAACCACAGAGAATCTACAATTTATGCTACCTATAATCTGCAGCACGGTGAATGCTGCGCCTAGTATGCAGGGTATTGTAGGGGGAGACTTAACTACAATTGCATTGTTGACAATACATCACTCCCAAAACAATGAAGATGACTTAGGTAGAGAGTTTGGAACTGGAAAATTTATCAGTTTATCATTTATCTATGCAACAGACTAAGTAAACACAATTAACTGAACGATTATTTATATGTGTGAAAACCACATGCATTTGTATAGGGTAACTTCTGCGTTCAGGTTTACGTTTCGATTTGATAACTTAAGTCTCAAATGAGTTGACAATGTACAGATTACAACGATATTACATTTGCAATCACTAATCGATGAATATGCTTCACAACAAGCAAGGAAACTATTTTTGTCAACTGGGAAGAATTCATGAAAATCAAATTCAAATTTGTTTTAGTGTGACAAGACCCTTAAAGTACAAGTTTAGGTATATGTTTTCAAAACAACCTTATTCGCAACATCCTTTATCGAAACATCTCTGAGATTGAGTTATCGACTTTAATAAATCTAAAATTAACAGATCCTAGAGTAGCCCAGCTTAAAAGGCTTTCTACAGGCATCTCTATCATTCATTTGTATATGATTTTGTAACGAAGCTTTTCAAATCTGCTTCATGACCTTTTATTTTTTATTTTTATTTTTTATTTTATTTTTTTTCATGACCTTTTATGGTTGTTATTAGAATATTAGTTACTTATTTGTAGATTGCGCTGAGTTGAACAGGAATATGTGTTTAAAATGAATTCTGAAAATGTATTTCATAAATTATAGCTATAGATGATCATGATCTTCACTATGAAGGTATAGACGGCAACATGTATATACTATTAGAATCAATTACCAGGTTATACATTTTTATCAATAGACTTAAAATACTACCTAATATGATAGGTAAAGAACAAATTTTATGAGGAACTCAATTGCAAATCGCATCATAAAATGAGTAAGTAATGATAATGTACAAGGGGCGATCAACAAATAACGCAAATAGAGCCCTATCTCAGAAACTAATTGGAGTTAGAACACCAAATTTGATACATCGTATCACCATATCATCGTATTGACCTGCTTCAAGTACCCATACCACGGGTTACTATGGTAACTGCAACTTTGACATATATCAATGTTTGTGCCTGTACTTTTCTGGAAATATTGATGAATGTTTGAAGATACTATGTACAATTAAGTATTCTAACTCCAACTCTCGTGAGTAATATGATATATTCACTCATTCCCTCCAGTCACTCGTGAATATATCGTATGCTCTTGAATGGATTTAATGAATGGTGTTCCCGTTCGTGATATATTTTATATCTAATACGTCTTAAATCTATGATGCAGTTTGTGCTCTGGAGGAAATGTCAATTTTCGCACCAGTCGTACGTAACGCTGGTGGCAGCATGATATTGGTTATTTAGTGAGATGTTCCAGGATAAATTTTTACATTTGCCCTACCGAGGACTTGTTGATTTGTCACACAAAGATTTGAATGGTGCATAATCTTGATCTTTTTCCATCTTGCATCATTCACCATACAGTAAGAAAAACAAACAGGATAGTATGAGGTTATATAATTGTTGATTCCGTATATCGTGTTTATACTCAAGTGAGTATATTCAAAAATATATACTTAAACGCCTGACAAAATTGCAAAGGACTGTCATGTACCAGTGTGACATACGACTAGTCGGAAAATTGACATTTCGTCAAGAGCCCAAATTGCATGAGCGATTTAAGACGAATTGGATATTATATATCCCCCTAACAGAGAAGCCAATCGATACATCCCTCCTTTGGAAAAACGTAAATATATATACATAAACGTCTCACAATATATCAAAGTAGTCGCTGCTACCAGAGCGATGTACAGCTGGTCCGAAAATTGACATTCCGTACATAGCCCAAAGTAAATTAGACTTGTATGACAAATTAGATACTCAA